CTCCAACCTCAGCCTCCCGAGTAGCTGGGACCACAGCTGGTAACCACTACACTTGGCCCTACAGGGTTTTTCTTCTGTTTGTTTTTTTGAGATAGGGTCTCACTCTGTTGCCCAGGCTGGAATGCAGTGGCATGAACATGGCTTACTGCAGGCTTGACCTCCCAGGCTCAAGCAATCCTTCTTCTTCAGCCTCCTGAATAGCTGGGACCACAGGAACATGCCACCGCTCCTGGCTGATTTTTAATTTTTTTGTAGAGCCAGGGTCTCGCCATCTTGCCCAGGCTGGTCCCAAGCTCCTGGGCTCAAGTGATCCTCGCACCTCAGCCTCCCAAAGTGCTGGGGTTATAGGCATTCGCCACTGCACCCGGCCCCCTTCAGGGTTTTATCTTTATAAGGGGTGGGGGGTGGTCAGCACCTTTCTCATTGTCACCGCTACCTTCCCTAGGTATGTGCAGGTGAAATTTGTCTGTATTCGGACCCAGTCAAACAGGAAGAGAACACGGGAGGCAGACATGTGCCCAGCATACTTGCTCCTAAAGTACAACGAGAGACTAGATAGACTGTTTATCAGTGAACTAAACACACAGCACATACATGGTGACTCTAAAGTGGCTAGTCCTTCAGAAGACACCACTGGCAAATCTCAAAAGACAATGTGCCTGCAGAGACTCCAGCCTGTGCAGCCCACAACCAAAAAAGACCTTGACACTGCTGAGAAGTCCTTGGTGGAGCCATCGTTTTGCCTGGATAAGGTACAAGTGTCCTCAAAGCCAGAGCAGGAAGGCATCACTCCTTCCGACCTGGCCAAGATAGCAAAAGTGATGAAGAACTTCCTTAAGGTAGATGAGGGTTCCATGGCTTCCTTCAGTGTGGGTGACAGCCAAGACCTGGACCGGCTCAGCTTCCAGAGCAGTAAGATGAGCGACCTATTCATCCGCTTCCCAGAGAATCTCTTGCTACACCGGGTGGAGAACACCCAGGGCCACATCCTCTATGCTTTCTTGGTGGAGAACAAGGAACGAGAAAGTCGCGTGGTGCACTTTGCTGTGCTCAAGGCCGAGACAGCCACCTCTGTGGCCAAGATGCTGAGCATCTTCACAGAGTTCAACTCCGATTGGCCCAAGGTCAAGGTGGTCTTTGTGGACCCTTCATTCCATCACCGGGCTATCCTGCAGGAGATCTTTCCTGCGGCCCGCATCCTCCTTTCCATCTACCACACAACCCGACTCTTAGAGAAGAAGTTGCATCGTAGCTCAGCAAATCCATCCTTTAAAAGGCTCATGAAGGAAGCCCTGCGGGAGGCCGTGTTTGTCACTTCCGAAGCCAGCCTGAAAAATCTCTGCCAGATGTCCCAGGCCCTGCTAGATGAGGATCTCTTCAACTTCCTGCAGGCCCACTGGTTCACCTGTGAACTGCTGTGGTACATGCACGTTAGGAAGGGCCTGCTTGCATGTAATACCTACATGGACAGCCTAGACATTGTCACCAGCAAGGTGTCAAGCCTCTTTCGGGAACAGCAGTCCCTGTTGGACTGTATCCTCTGCTTTGTGGATTACATAGACTTCTTTAATACCAAAGGCTTGAAGAATTTGCCCACAGCTCCTCCCAAGTTAAAGAGAGCTCGGCCAGCAAGCATGCCACTGAAGTCCAAGAAGGGTTTTGGAATCTGCGGAGGGAGCCTCAACAGGCTCCCTGTAGAAGAGACCAAGCCAGACCCACAGCAGGTGCATGTGCAGCAGCAGTCACAGGTGCTGCCCTCTCAGGTTGGCATGCTAGACACCTTGCACCAGAGTGGCTCCGAACTAGCCTACAAGCTGTGCCACAATGAGTGGGAGGTGGTACAGAACTCCACCCACCTGGTGGACATGGCTGGCTCTTCCGTGGATGTTCAGCTACTAGAGGACTCTCACCAGGTTAGCAAAGACGGCTGTAGCTGCAGCTGTTCCTTTCAGCAGTGGTACCACCTGCCATGCCGACACATTTTGGCTCTGCTGCACACCAGCCAGCAGCCAGTTGGGGAAGCCATGGTGTGCCGCCGGTGGCAAAAGAAGTACCAGCACCTCCTTGGGCCCAATGGGGAGCTCCAGGATCGTGGTGCAGTTGCAAACACAGACCAGCCTGAGAAGCAAGGACGGAATGACATGATTCAGGACCTGAGCAGGGAGTTAGCAAACCTGCTCATGCAGACTGAGGGGCCAGAGCTGGAAGAACGCTACTCCACCCTGCGCAAGATTGTGGATATCTGGGCTGACACCTCCCAGCCATCTGAGTTCCTTCATCAGCCAGGAGACTTTAAGGACGTGGGCCGCCTGCCTTTCCTCTGGGAAAAGCAAGAAGAGGAGGAGGGATTCCCTCCTGCTGCAGCTGTGATGCATTATTGAAGCACTTTAGCTGAGGCATTGGACCACAAACACTTCTCCTTGGAAGTGTGAGAGTTTAAAGTGGGCAGGACATGCTAGGGGTCAGCATTTTAGCCAATGTCTTCCTAGGTAGGGCAAGGAATATTGTTACAGTAGAGAGGAGAGGAACTCCACTGTGTGACAGTCCTTTCAATCTGCCCCTTTGCAGCCCTACCTTTGGCATTCCTTGGGAGCCTCATTCGTTGTTCAAGGCCAAAGTTATCTCTGCTGCAAGGTCACCCTCTTCCTCCCCCGACCCCTGAGATCAGACCTGATTTGCCCTGCAAAAAATGAATTCCTGCCTCAGAATAGGGTGAGACAAAATAGGTCTGGAAAAAGGGCCTGTTTTCAGGGACAAAGGGAGTGAGGGTGATCTTTGGCTATTGCTGCTCTTTGTGAAGAATCTGTTATTTGTAACTTTTTATTCATATTAAAGTTGTTTTTAATAAAATGAAACAAGCAAGGGAAATGTGTTCTGCTTGATGAGGGAAGGAAGAGGAATTGCATAGCAATAGGACTGGACTTTACTGTCAGGAAGTGAGTGCTCTAGGGTGGATTTATTAATTTTAAAGAAAATTGAGGTTAGGTACAATGGCTCATGCCTTTAATAACAACACTTTGGGATGTAGAGGTGGGTGAATCACCTGAAGTCAAGTGTTCAAGACCAGCCTGGCCAACATGGAGAAACCCTGTCTTTACTAAAAATACAAAAAATAATCGGGCATGGTGGTGTGCCTGTAATCCCAGCTACTTGTGAGGCTGAGTCAGGGGAATCACTTGAACCCAGGAGGCAGAGGTTGCAGTGAGCCGAGGTCACAGTGAGCCAAGATTATGCCACTGCACTCCAGCCTGGGTGACAGAGTAAGACTCAGGAAGAAAACGGAGGAAGGGAAAGAAAATTGAGTGTTAGCAACCTAATGGGGTCGTGGAGCCAAATAGAACCTGATGTCTCACATTCAAGGATTTAGCAATCTGCCTCTTTCTTTGGCCCCTTCCTACAACCAAGCCTTCAAGGTTGATTTCAGGTTGCCTTATATTCTAGCAGGAAGAGGCCAGATAGACTGGGGGTGGGTGGGAAGAAACCTGAATCTTAGACTTGACTACCAGCAACTTGCTGGGGAACTGTGGGCAATTTCTTTGACCTGTTTCCTCTGTAAAAGTTAGCATGTTGCGGGGGGGGGGGGGGGGAAATCAGCATGTTGGCCTGTCCTAATTCCAAATTTCCCCTCTAGGTTTACATAACCAACTTTTTTGGGGGGATAGAGTTTCACTCTTGTTGCCCAGGCTGGAGTACAATGGCACAATCTGGGCTCACTGCAACCTTCGCCTCCCGGCTTCAAGTGATTCTTCTGCCTCAGCCCTCTGAGTAGCCGAGATTACAAGCATGCACCACCACGCCCAGCTAATTTTTTGTATTTAGTAGAGATGGGGTTTCACCGTGTTGGTCGAGCTGGTCTTGAACTTCTGATCTCAGGTGATCCACACGCCTCGGCTTCCCAAAGTGCTGGGATTACACGTGTGACCTACAGCGCCCAGCCTATTAACATTTTCTTTTCTTTTTTCTTTTCTTTTTTTTTTTTTTTTTGAGACGGAGTTTCGCTCTTGTTACCCAGGCTGGAGTGCAATGGCGCGATCTCGGCTCACCGCAAACTCCGCCTCCTGGGTTCAGGCAATTCTCCTGCCTCAGCCTCCTGAGTAGCTGGAATTACAGGCACGCATCACCATGCCCAGCTAATTTTTTGTATTTTTAGTAGGGACGGGTTTTCACCATGTTGACCAGGATGGTCTCGATCTCTTGACCTTGTGATCCACCCGCCTCGGCCTCCCAAAGTGCTGGGATTACAGGCTTGAGCCACCGTGCTCGGCCAACATTTTCGATGCATAAGTGCCAACACTGATTTGGTGTTGCTAGTTGGCAATCTTAATCCTCCAAGACCTGGTAAACACCTAGCTTTCTAAGTCTGCCGTCTTCAAGGGAACTGAGGAAAAAAGACCAGTCAGTTGGCTTTTGCGCTAATGTAGTAGGACCTTAAATAAGTCATGGCGCCATTTGTAGAATACTGGAGGGGGTCGGGCTAGAGAAAATCAAGTTTTGGCTTGTTTAAGGGGATCTGGATTTCCTCAACTCTTAAGAGTTGGGCTCCCCACCCCCAAAGGAGCGCCATAGAGTTTGAGACCTGGAACTCAGTTTCTCCATAAGGTAGAATGCACTTTATGACTGCATATGCACCGTTTCCTAAACCCCAGGGGCTTTAGAATTTGACCAAAAAAAACCACCAAAATCATAAAACTGCTATTTATTTTCCTTTTCATTTTCTGCCTTTGAGGGAGTTTCCATAGTAACGTGCCCTTTCAATCGTCTAGCCAGGACAGAGGCTGCAGAGCTCCAGCCTCAAAGATCAGCTCTCCCAGATGCAAGTATCATTAGGTTCTCATTGGTTACCAACAGCCGAGCCCCTCGTAACCCCGGCAATACAGCCCGCCCACGAATCGTCGCGCTATGATTGGCCCATAGCACTAAAGCCTGAAAGCGAATTCCTCAGACATTGGCCCGAGTCACTGCAATGCTGATGCCGTGGTTGGTGAGTTTGGAGGTCAGTCAGAGTCGGAGGCAGGGTCAAATAAGGAGAAATGGCGACGGAGCTAGGCTGTGGGTGAGTGATTCCTGAAGGGGTGTTTAAGTGTGAGACAGCGGATCTCTGCGGTCAGCCGTCACAGAACTCCAAAAGGGGTGGGAGGGAGGTTGTCTTATCCAGCTTCAGCCAGACTCTGGGAACGTCAGACATCCACATCTCCCACCCAGGTTAGAGGTGAGAGGTCAAAGGCCGTATTCCCTCTCTGTTGGTTTTTGGAATCCAGGTGCTTTGGGCAGCAGTCAGGATCCCGAACCAAAGACTCAACCTTCAGCTACTTACAGAGTAATGGTAGGCAAGTGACTTAGCCTCTTTGAGCCTTAGTTTATCATCTGTAAAATGAGGAGAGTAACTCGGTCTGGGGCCAAATAGAGAAAACATTGGAATAGAGCGTTGCTGCTAAAAGAGAGATATAGTAGAGGCCGAGAAGCTATGCACATTTGTTAGCCCCATTCTATGGGGGAAGGGATTGAGGCTCAGAGAGGGTCACTGCCTTGCCCGAGATCACCCAGCAAGTTTGGAACAATTGCAGTTCTCTTATATATACCAGGACCAAAGGAAAGAATGAATGCCAATCACTTATAAATGTAAAATAATATTTTTATGTTGTTTGTTTGAGATGGAGTTTCGCTGTCACCTAGAGCTGGAGTGCAGTGGCATAATCTCAGCTCACTGCAACCTCCACCTCCTGAGTTCAAGCGAGTCTCCTGCCTCAGCCTCCTAAGTAGCTGGGACTAAAGGCATGGGCCACCACACCCAGCTATTTTTTTTTTTTTTTTTGTATTTTTAGTAGAGACAGGGTTTCACCATGTTGGCCAGGCTAGTCTCAAACTCCTGACCTCAAGTGATCCGCCCTCCTCCGCCTCCCAGAGTGCTGGTATTACAGACATGAGCCACTGTGCCTGGCTAGAATGCTATTTTTTTTGGAAGGCCATATGCGGCTCTGGCCATACTATTTAAATCCTCTGGATCCATATCTTTCCATAGCTAACGTCCTATCATTTAGGTCTCAGCTCCAATATCATCCTTCTCCCCTGAGAGGCTTTCCCTTACCACCTTAAAGTATTCCTCCCTTCCCCATTTCCTCTCCGACATGTTACTCAGGTTTGTGGTCTTTGTAACCTTCATTATTGGATATATCTTTGCTTATGTATGTGTCTATTGTGTATCTCCCCCTAGAACAGTGCTGACACATAGTAAATGTTCAGCAAATATTGTCTGGATGAATAATTGAAGAGCCAAGTTCCTGTTGTCTCCTTAAACCTCTGTTCCTCTCTATAGGCCCATCTTTGGAAAAAGATCTGGGAACAATTGTCTAGCCTCAAGGCTGAACTTACTTGGAGCTTGAGAGACTCAAAGCCTCATGGACAGCTGCCCTGCAGAGAAGGTATTTTGACCTTGGCATTTGGACATCTCCCATCCCCCCCATGGCCCTAACAATGCTGAATGGGCTCCTGATTAAGGACTCAAGCCCACCGATGCTGCTGCACCAGGTTACCAAGACTGCCCAGTTAGATACCTTCAACTACCAGAGCTGCTTTATGCAGAGTGTCTTTGACCATTTCCCTGAAGTCTTATTTATCCACCGGACCTATAACCCAAGGGGTAAGGTCTTATATACCTTCCTGGTGGACGGACCTCGGGTGCAGCTGGAGGGTCATCTTGCCCGAGCAGTCTACTTTGCCATCCCTGCTAAGGAGGACACTGAAGGCCTGGCCCAGATATTCCAGGTATTCAAGAAGTTTAACCCAGCATGGGAGAGAGTCTGTACCATCCTGGTGGATCCTCATTTCCTTCCACTGCCTACTCTAGCCATGGAGTTCCCTGCAGCTGAGGTCCTGCTCTCAGCCTTCCACATTTGTAAGTTCCTCCAGGGCAAGTTCTATCAGCTGTCCCTTGAACAGCCCGTGGAAAAGCTGCTCCTGACCTCCCTGCAGAGCACAATGTGCTCAGCTACAGCAAGCAACCTGAGAAAGTTGTATACACTCCTGAGCAACTGCATCCCCCCAGCCAAGCTGCCTGAGCTCCACTCACACTGGCTGCTCAACGACCGTATCTGGCTGGCTCACCGCTGGAGAAGCCGAGCCGAGAGCAGCCGCTACTTCCAGAGCCTCGAGGTCACCACCCGCATCCTCAGCCAGTTCTTCGGCACGACCCCATCTGAGAAACAAGGTATGGCTTCTCTGTTCCATTACATGCAGCAGAACTCTGCAGACAAGGTGAACTTCAACCAGGGCCTGTGTGCCCAGAACAATCATACCCCTTCAGATACCATCCCTGAAAGCCCCAAAGTGGAGCAGCTGGTAGAATCCCACATCCAGCACTCCCTTAATGCCATCTGCACAGGGCCAGCAGCCCAGCTCTGCCTGGGTGAGCTTGCTGTGGTCCAGAAATCCACACACCTTATTGGTTCTGGCTCAGAAAAGATGAACATACAGATCCTGGAAGACACCCACAAGGTACAGCCCCAGCCCCCTGCCAGCTGCAGCTGCTACTTTAACCAGGCCTTCCATCTTCCCTGCCGCCACATCCTAGCCATGCTCAGTGCCCGTCACCAGGTGCTCCAGCCCGAAATGCTGCCAGCTCAGTGGACGGCAGGCTGCGCCACCAGTCTAGACAGCATCCTGGGCAGCAAGTGGAATGAGACCTTGGATAAGCACCTGGCAGTGACTCACCTCACTGAGGAGGTGGGTCAGCTGTTGCAGCACTGCAGCAAGGAGGAGTTTGAGCGGAGGTACAACACTCTGCGGGAACTGGCCGACAGCTGGATTGGACCTTATGAGCAGGTCCAACTCTGATTATTCTCAGCCCCCAGAGATGCTCGTGCACCTGTGCACACTCACATCTGCCCCTATACACACATACACACATAGTTACACTGTTGTACTTCCGTGGTCCTTCCTTCCAGAATAAGGACAAGGTTCAAGGGTCTTCTCATCTACCATGGCCTGCTACATAGCATGTGTCTAGCTCCATGAGACAGGAGTCAGCAAATCTTATCTGTAAAGGGCCCAATAGTAAATAGTTTACTCTATTGGCCACATACAGTCTCTGATGTATATTCTTGGTTTTAACATTTTCATAAGGTAAAACCATGCTTAGCTCAAAGGTCTTACAAAAACTGGCAAGCTGGCTGGGCATGGTGGCACATGCCTGTAATCCCAGCACTTTTGGAGGCCGAAGTGGGCAGATCATTTGAGGTCAGGAGTTCAAGACCATCCTGGCCAACATGGCGAAACCCTGTCTCTCCTAAAAATACTAAAATTAGCCAGGCATGGTGGTGGGTGCCTGTAATCTCAGCTACCCAGGAGGCTGAGGCAGGAGAATTGCTTGAACTTGGAAGGCAGAGGTTGCAGTGAGCCAAGATTCTGTTGCCATTGCATTCCAGCCTGGGAGGGTGAGGCTCAGTCTTAAAAAAAAAAGAAAATAAACAGGCAACCCCCTGGTCTAAGATTAGAGATAAGACATCATGTGAGGTTAAGGGTTGGGGCTTGGTAGCAGTTGCCCCAGGTCATGAGATGACTAACCTGACCCATCTCCTTTGAGTGAGCTGGGCTGGGAGGCTTCCTACAGGGAAAGAGGCCCCTCTGCGGAGCTGGCTCAGCCAGGCTCCCTGAACGTTTTTCCTTGTCCCATCCTGGGGTCAATGAAACTGAATGTTGTATATTCTAGTACTTGTCTAGTTTTTTGTTTTGTTTTGTTTTTTTGAAACAGAGCTTCGCTTTCATTACCCAGGCTGGAGTACAATGGCGCGATCTCGGCTCACCGCAGCCTCCGCCTCCTGGGTTCAAGCAATTCTCCTGCCTCAGCCTCCTGAGTAGCTGGGTCTACAGGCACGCGCCACCGTGCCCAGCTAATTTTTATATTTTTAGTAGAGACGGGGTTTCACCTTGTTGACCAGGATGGTTTCGATCTCTTGACGTGATCCACCTGCCTCGGCCTCCCAAAGTGTTGGGATTATAGGCTTGAGCCACCGCGCCCACCTACTTGTCTAGTTTTTCTTTTTTCCATAGCAGATAGTTTAGGGTATATTATGGAAAGAATAGACCTTAGAGTGTTATACAACATGTGAATCCTGGTTGGTTCCTTCCCTGCTTGTTTTTTGTGCCTGGTTCTGCCTTTTACTAGCTATGAGACTTATTAGGGTAAGTCACCTCTCTAAACCTCAACTTGATCATCTATAAAAATGGGGATCTGGGATCTTCACAGGGTAAGTTTACAGAGCAGGCATACCTAGTGGGTACTCAATTAAGTATTAATTTTCTTTCCTTGCCTATGGTCCTATGACCTGCCTTCAACATGCTGGGAAATTTAAGGCAAGAGGAGAATTCACATGCCTAGGACTTAATATGAAATTCTGGGCAGGCCAGGCATGGTGGCTCACGCCTGTAATCCCAACACCTTAGAAGGCCAAAGGAGGCAGATCGGAGCATCCTGGCAACATGGCAAAACCCCTTCTCTACAAAAAACACAAAAATTAGCTGGATGTGGCACATGCCTGTAATCCCAGCTACTCAGAAAGACTGAGGAGGTGGGAAGATCACTTGAGCCCAGGTTGAGGCTGCAGTAAGCTGTGATCGCTCCACTGCACTCCAGCCTGGGTGACAGAGTAAGACCCTGTCTCAAAAAAAATAATTCTGATCAAATCCTCAAAACAACATAAAAGCAGCCTCAACTCTCCAAGCAGGAGCCCCTATCTCAGTAATTTCAATTGTATCTACCTGACAAAACCTATCTCCTGTCTTAGTGGTAACTAGAGATACTTTCTAGGGTGTGGAAGTCCTAATGAAGGATTGGAATTTGTCAGAATAGCTGAACCACCTGCTCTATCCCCATCCCTGCCATAGGCCCTTCTCCCAAGCCTGTCTCCCCAAGAACCATACAGAGAAGCCACCCTACATATCTGGTGCTATTTCATCCAGCTACAAGCAGGAGCCTGGAGGCTGGCCCCTCTTGGATCTCAATAGGGGTACCTTCCCAGAGGCTGTGTAGGCATGCACCTGCTCCCACTGCGCCCCCTCCCCAGCACCCTCTGGCTCTGGATGGGCCATCATGAAAGCTTGAGCAGCCCAGATCAAGTCCTCTTCCCGCACGCCTGGGACAGGCACGGTGGGAATGCCGGCGATCATCATAGCAAGGGTGAGGATGCAGATGTCAGGCTGGGAGCTGGCCTCCTTCCCCATTGCCTCAGAGGGTACTGGCAGAACCCCTGGTGACAGCCCACACAGCAGCAGGGGCCCAGGCCTGCTGGGGCCACCCAGATCAGGGGCTGTGCTTCTGGAGTAAACATTCTCCCAGCCCAAGCTCTCCAGTTGTCTCGCATGCGGGAATTTGTGGCAGTATTGGCTGTATTCCTTCCTCCGTAGTGTCTCCCAGCCAGTCCCCCCAGGGCAGCCCCTGGCTTGTGGCATTGCCAAGGCTGGGCCCCAGGCCTGGGCAGTAGGTGCCACCTGCTCAGTTTTCTGGCTCGCTGGGCCTATTCCACCAGAGGCCACCGCCACTGGCTCTACGGGACTACAGAGGCCAAGGGACAAGCCTGGAGAAGCAGCCCCACCTGCAGAGACAGGAATGAAATGTAAAGTTATCCTCCGTCTCTTTGAGAAGGGGGCCCTGAGGGGCAGTGTATAAGAGCAGAGTTTGGGGGCATAACTAAGACCAGCCCCAGCAGACTGTCTAGAGGCTGGGAACTAGGTGTTACTCATACCCACACTCCCAGTCCCCAGCACAGAGTAGGTGATGGCAAGTGTTTGCTGAACAAATACTGAGCAAGCAGGTAGTTATTGATTGGCAAGCATGTTTAGAATGGCTTTTCTTCTAAAAGAACTGATTCTAGGGGGCCGGGCGCGGTGGCTCACGCCTGTAATCCCAGCACTTTGGGAGGCCGAGGCAGGCAGATCACAAGGTCAAGAGATCGAGACCATCCTGGTCAACATGGTGAAACCGCGTCTCTACTAAAAATACAAAAAATTAGCTGGTCATGGTGGTGCGTGCCTGTAATCCCAGCTTCTCGGGAGGCTGAGGTAGGAGAATTGCCTGAACCCAGGAGGCGGAGGTTGCAGTGAGCCGAGATCGTGCCATTGCACTCCAGCCTGGGTAACAAGAGCGAAACTCCGTCTCAAAAAAAAAAAAAAAAAGAACTGATTCTAGGGCCAGCCCCCAAATGCCCAGTGGAACCCTCACCCCTCACCTCCCTAGAGCCAGAAAGCAACTTCTCAGGAGAAGCCACAGCACTCCCTCCAATCACAGGTGCCCCCGACTCACCTTGGCCAGAAGACAGAGGACCCAGATGAGTTTGTGGAGTCCTGAAGTAGGACATGGCTGCCCCAAAGCCCCTGTTTGTGAGGGAATAGTGATCTGCCTCCTGTCCTCCCTTCTTCACCCTTCTAGAATGTCACCTCATAGACCCTCCCTGTTACACTTGGAACCCACCTTACAGGATTGACCTGTTCATTCTAGAACCTGAATATGACAATAGGATGAGGTTAAAAGAGAACCGGACCAGGAGCTGGGTGTTCTAGGTTCTTGCCCTTACCCTTGGACAAGTCACCTAGATAGTTTTGTTCCTTGATATCCTCATCTGTAAAGTGGGTCTGATGACTGCCACTACCTCATTAGGAGTTTTGAGGATGAAAGGAGATCATTTGTATGGAAGCAAATGACCAGAGATGGAAATACAGGAGCCTTGTAGCATGAGACCTGGGGTCAGATCCAGGTATTGGTATTTTTCTTTTTCTTTTTTTGAGATGGAGTCTCACTCTGTTGCCTAGGCTGGAAGGCTGGAGGGCAGTGGCAAGACCTCAGTTCACTGCCTCCTGGGTTCATGTGATTCTCCTGCCTCAGCCTCCTGAGAAGCTGTGACTATAGGTACCCGCCACCATGCCTGGCTAACTTTTGTATTTTTAGTAGAGACAGGGTTTCACCATGTTGGCCAGGCTGGTCTCAAAATTACTGACCTCAAGTGATCCACCCACCTCCCAAAGTGCTGGGATTATAGGCCAGGTATTGGTATTTTTCAAAGTTCCTCAAGTGATTATAATACATGGCAAAGTTGGAACCGCTACTCCAGGAACATGCTTCTCAGCCCTGGCTATACGCGAGGAGATCTTGAAAAGCTTTTACAGAAAACAATGTCTCGGCCTAATTTCCCAACAAATAAAATATGAATCCCTAGAGATGGGGTGTGCGACACCAGCACTCTTTCCGTATCCCAAGATGACTTTAACAAGCAGCCATCCCAGGGACCACTGGTCTAGATGGTATCTAAAATGCTTTCTTGCTCTGACCTGCAGTGATTCTAAAAGAAGTGCCTCTCATAGGCTGTAGGGGCAAGGAGACCTTCCAGTGATCAAGACGTCAGCATCAGCTGTTTATTTCTGGTCCTGCCTGGCAGCAATGTGGCCAACTTCAGACCAGCCAGCCACAGGTCTGGGGCCCCGGGATGCAGTCCTGCCCCAGTGCGCTGCAGGTCTTCACTCATATTTGCAGAAATCCTTAAGTTCTTTGGGCAGGTGGAGCCCATCAATGGCCAGCCGGTGCACCAGGCTCCGCTGTATCACTAGGCGGCACAGAGTCTGCAGGGACGGCACTGTGGGAAGAAGGCTGTGAAAGGCAAACTGAACTGGAAGGTGGGTCTGAGGCCAAGACACAAGATCTAGGTCTTGGTCCCCACTTTGCCATTAAATGTGGGCAAGTCCTTACTGCTCTCTGGACCCAGCCTGCTTCATGGGGCTGAGAGAAGCATGTCTTCCCAAGAGCTGTCACAGTGCTGCACTCCTGTGTATACCATAACACTTAGCACTGACCCTTCCCAATTCACTTAGCAGCTTCTGGGGACAGGGGTAGTGTCTGATTTGCCTGTGCAACTGCAGCCTCCAGCACAGGCCTGGCACAGAGAGGGTTCTGGTTCATTGAATTCATGAAATGTGATCAGAGGTATAACTAAAATTCTTACCAGGGCTATAGTGAACCATACCTCAGCATTAAGAAGCCCTCAGTCTGGGCTTTGTGATGCCTCTAAGCCAATATGCCCAAGTCTATGAGCATGTTTCTTTTTTTTAATTTAAAGAGGGAGGGTTGGCCTGGGTGCGGTGGCTCACGACTGTAATCCCAGCACTTTGAGAGGCCGAGGCAGGCAGGTCATGAGGTCAAGAGTTTAAGACCAGCCTGGTCAACATGGTGAAACCCCATCTCTACTAAGAATGTAAAAATTAGCCGGGCACGGTGATACATGTCTGTAATCTCAGCTACTCGGGAGGCTGAGTCAGGAGAATTGCCTGAACTCAGGAAGTGGAGGTTGCAGTGAGCTGAGATTGCACAACTACTGCACTCCAGCCTGGGTGACAGAGCAGGACTCCATCCCAGACCAAAAAAAAAAAAAGAGAGAGAGGGTCTTGCTCTGTTACCCAGGCTGAAGGGCCGTGGTCATAGCTCACTGCAGTTTTCAATTCTTGGGCTCAAGTGATTCTCCTGCCTTAGCCTCCCAAATAGCTGGGACTACAGGCATGTGCCACCATGCCCAGATAATTATTTAATTTTTTGTAGAGATGGGGTCTCACTTTGTTGCCCAGCCTTGATAATGTTTCTTTTTTTCTTTTTTGAGACAGTCTCAGTCTGTTGCCTAGGCTGGAGTGCACTGGTGAGATCCTGGCTCACTTCAACCTCCACCTCCAGGTTCAAGTGATTCTCCTGCCTCAGCCTCCCGAGTACCTGGGATTACAGGTGCACATCACCACGCCCAGCTAATGTTTGTATTTTTAGTAGAGAGGGGGTTTCACCATGTTGGCCAGGCTGATCTCGAACTCCAGGCCTCAAGTGATCACTGGTGAGATCCTGACTCACTGCAACCTCCACCTCAAGGTTCAAGCGTTCTCCTGCCTCGGCCTCCCAAAGTGCTGGGATTACAGGTGTGTGCCACCATGCCCGGCCAAACACATTAGTAAGAAAAAGGCAAACAATTCTCAAAGAGGCCCCTAATATCTAAAATCGGTTTAGAATCCCTGCCCTAGGTGAATACAGGTAACACTGTCAAAACTAAAAGAACTTGTAGGGCATCTTAATCAGCCAAGATGGGTACCAAGGCCCAAAGCCAGGTAGAGGCTTGTGCAAGAGCACAAGTAGAGGTGCCACTTGAAGCTAGATTCTCCCACTTTTTTTTTTTTTTTTTTTTTTGAGACGGAGCCTTGCTCTGCTGCCCAGGCTGGAGTGCAGTGGTGTGATCTAGGCTCACTGCAACCTCTGCCTACTTCAAGGGTTCAATCGATTCTCCTACTTCAGCCTCCCGTACAGGTGCCTGCCACCACGCCTCGCTGATTTTTATATATTTAATAGAAACAGGGTTTCACCATATTGGCAAAGCTGGTCTTGAGCTCCTGACCTCAGGTGATCCGCCCGCCTCGGCCTCCCAAAGTGCTGGAATTACAGGCTTGAGCCACCGCGCCTGGCCGATTTTCCCCCTCTTAAACTAGTGCCGGGCAGACCAAGGCCTAGCAAGTTGGCTAGGGAGCCCTAGCAGATTCCTGTCCCCACACCGAGCCAGGAGGGGTCGCTGCCCAGGGATACCTACAGCCATACTCGAGCTGGACAAGGCGCACGCTCTTGGTGGAAGCAAACACGTCCACCACCGCGTAGAGGGGCTGCGCAGCTGGCAGCCCCCGGGCGCTCGGGCCCATGTCCTCGCCGTTGATGACGATGTGCATGTCGGCCGTGCCATCCGGGCGCGGGCAGAAGAGGACGCCCAGGCGGCTGCGGCGCGCGGTCGGAGGCAGCACGTTCAGCTCATAGAGCTGGTCCAAGAGGTGGCTGTAGAGCCCTGGCCGGCTCCGGCCCACCAGACGGTCTCGGGGAATGCGAAACTGCTCAATGCACAGATATGGTTCCACTAGGAGGGCCGGAGGTCGGCTGGGGGCCGCTGCCTCCGCCTCCGCCTCCGGGCTGTCCCCCCGGGGCACGCGGTTGTGGTGGCGCGTGATGGCGAAGACCCAGGTGTGGCCCAGATTGACCAGGTCGGGCAGAGAAAACTCGGGCACGGCGGCCAGACTGGCGGGGTCCAGCGCAGTCAGGCCGAGACGCAGATGTCCGCACCAGCCCAGCTCTTTCTCCTCGATCTCGACCAGGAAGACCTGTCCCGGGGCCAGCGGCTCGCGGCTGAAACACACGCCGTGGGCGAAGCTCTCCACGCGTGTGGCCCGCGTCCCAGAGGGGTCCACGCGAATGTTGGCACCGTGCACCCGATGGAAGCGGGTGGGAGGGGGCTCCGGGCGCACTGGTCCCCAGAATGCACCCGAATCCACGGGCTCGGAGGCGGCAGCCATCTCCCAGCCATGAGGCAGGCCAGCGTGCGCCCGGGGCTATTTTGGGCGCCGGGCTCGGATGGTGACCGCAAGGGGACCTTGTAAGGCATTTCCCCCGTGGCTGATTTCCCCGAACTTCTGCCTGGGGGTCCTAGCGCCGCTCGCTCGGCCATCCCGCCTAGAACTTGGCAGTCCACACCAGGATCATCTGATCGTGTGCGCCCGGGCTACGACCCGCGAGGCCCGCAGACCTTGACCCGGCATTGACCGCCACCGCCCCCCGGGACTGTACGCACCAAAGTAGGGGGCGGGAGGAAGACTGTCACGTGGCGCCGGAGCTCACGTGATTCGGAGTACACATGACTCCCAGTCCCCGGGAGCCTCCAGGAGAGGAAGGACGCGGGGGAGCAGAGGTGAGCTGGCACCGAAGGCTGGAGGGGTTCCCCGAGCCCGGGATCGGTGCGCGGCGGAGGAGGCTCGCGAGTGGGAGCTGGCGCTGGGGCCGGGGCTTTCCCCCGCGAAGGCGCCGCCAGCTCCTTCCCGGGGACTGCTGCGCAGAAGCGCTGAGGAGGGAGTCCACAGCCCCTCTGCTGCCTCCTGCAGATGATCCGAGCCTCGCCGCCGCCGCTGTTCCTGCTGCTGCTGCTCGTGTCTTGGGCGCCCCTAATCGAGGCAGCCCCCGACCAGGACGAGATCCAGTGCCTCCCCGGGCTGGCCAAACAGCCATCTTTCCGCCAGTTCTCCGGCTACCTCAAAGGCTCCGGCTCCAAGCACCTCCACTACTGGTCTGCCGCCCTGTCTCTGGGCGGGATTGGGAGGAGAGATGATGGAGGAGGGGTGGGGGGTAGTTCTGCAGACCCCTGAGGATGCCTGGGAGCCGGGAGGGCTGGAAAGGGCCCCTCCACCTGCGCCAACCCTGCCCTGACAACCCTCCCAGGTTTGTGGAGTCCCAGAAGGATCCCGAGAACAGCCCTGTGGTGCTTTGGCTCAATGGGGGTCCCGGCTGCAGCTCCCTAGATGGGCTCCTCACAGAGCATGGCCCCTTCCTGGTGAGTGGAGAGTAGCAGGAAAGCACAGTCCCCAAAGCAAAAGGCTGGGGAAAGGGAGGAAGGGGCTTTGTGATTTTCCAAAAAGTTTTCCTTGCTCCAGAGCATCGGGATTTTCCTCTGTGCCTTTGGCTTTGCCGCCTGTACCTCTGAGGGGTTTTGCCCACATGTAAAATGCGTCTCATAGTGGCCCTTTCCCTCCACCATGGGACTTACCCAACCATCTCTTCCTCCTCAGATCCAGCCAGATGGTGTCACCCTGGAGTACAACCCCTATTCTTGGAACCTGGTATATAGCTGGAGCTGTGGGTCCTGTGGGGGTGCCTGGGCATTTGGATGGGGTGGTGATTAGCTCATTTTTCCCTCCCCTCTAGATTGCCAATGTGTTATACCTGGAGTCCCCAGCTGGGGTGGGCTTCTCCTACTCTGATGACAAACTTTATGTAACCAATGACACTGAGGTGAGTCCTGTGCCTGCCCATCTGCCCCAGGCTCCCGAGTCCTCCATACATGGCCCGATGCTGGGAGAAAGAGCATGGTCTTGGAGTCCACTTTTAGCTCTGTCCTATGCCGTTGTGCTGTAGTGGCCCAGTTTCCTCTTACGGGTGGATTGACGTCTTTGTCGCTGAGGTTCTTTCCAGTCCAAATACCAAAGCTTCCTGATTACCCGCTGTCTTGCTCTCCTATCCCCAGGTCGCCCAGAGCAATTTTGAGGCCCTTCAAGATTTCTTCCGTCTCTTTCCGGAGTACAAGAACAACAAACTTTTCCTGACTGGAGAGAGCTATGCTGGCATCTACATCCCCACCCTAGCCGTGCTGGTCATGCAGGACCCCAGCATGAACCTTCAGGTGCAGGGCAGCTGCAGGAGGGAAGGGAGGCACCTTGTGACCGTGGCCTTGCAGTTAGCAAGGTCAAAGTGGTCAGCATCCCCATCCAACCCAGTTTCCTGCATAACCTCCCTGCCGCGGCTGCCCTAGGTCTGTGTGCCTTCCATAGCAGGAAACTCACCTGTCAGGCTGCCAGCTCTGTCCTTTGCATTGAGTGGCTTCCCACACCCACCCGCCCCCACAAACCATCCTGGGTTTCAGCTTCCGGATTGCTGAAGGTCTGGGTGTTAGGTCAGGGAGGCTCTTCCTCCTCCTCCTCCACCTGAGCTGAGCACCCTGGGTGTTTCACAGGGGCTGGCTGTGGGCAATGGACTCTCCTCCTATGAGCAGAATGACAACTCCCTGGTCTACTTTGCCTACTACCATGGCCTTCTGGGGAACAGGTATGGGATAGGGCAGTTGGGCGATCTCTAGGGTGGGGCAGGTTACATGATCTTGGGTCTGTCCTCCAGGCATATGATATGCCAGGCCCATCCCAGGTTTATGAGCAGCAGGTAGGTTGCAGAAAGAACTTAGCGCTGAAAGACCAAAGAAGAGAGATCAGATTTTTTTTTTTTTTTTTTTTTTTTTTTTTTTTTTTGAGACAGAGTCTCACTCTGTCACCTAGGCTGGAGTGCAGTGGCATGATCTTGGCTCACTGAAATCTACACTTCCCAGGTTCAAGTGACTCTCATGCCTCAGCCTCCCTAAGCAGCTGGGACTACCACTGCTCACACCACCACACCTGCCTAATTTTTTGTATTTTTAGTAGAGATAGGGTTTTGCCATGTTGGCCAGGCTGGACTCGAACTCCTGGCCTCAAGTGATCTGCCCCCACCTTGGCTTCCCAAAGTGCTGGGATTACAGACATGAGCCACAGTGCCCAGCCAGAGATCAGATTTTAAAGGAACTAGGGAGGCCTGTTTGTATGACCCTGGGGCACCTCTTTGGGAGCTAGCTTAGGTGATGTACAGACCACACCCCGCGATATCTTTCGTAGTCCCCTAGGGTCAGGGAGGTCGGTGGGAGGTGGGGGGTATGCTCGCCTCCTCTGCCTTCCTCTTCCCACCAGAGGCTGATGCACTTTTCCTCTCATCTCCTACAGGCTCTGGTCTTCTCTCCAGACCCACTGCTGCTCTCAAAACAAGTGTAACTTCTATGACAACGAAGACCCAGAATGTGTGACCAATGTGAGGTTCTGCCGTCACTTTGCATCAGCGCCGCCATCCCTGATCCTGAGAACAGGACCACATTCCCTCCTTGGGGACTCCTTGTTCTCCATCCCTCATTGCTTTCTTATCTTGCACCTTTAAGCAATTTAGTGTTCTCTGGGACACGTGTCTAAGTGTGTATTCCCACCACCCGCACCTCCTATGGTGGCAAATCCCATAACCTCCGTGAAGGAGACAGGACCCCTTCACATTGAGGGAACACCTGCACTGTGACAGGCATTGTGCTGAACTGTGTCTATGTAGATTATTTAAGCTTCAAAATTCCCCCGAAAGATCATACTACCCACATGAAACTGAGGGCCCTGAATTTGAAATCACTGTCTGAAGTCACAGTGTGAGGAGACAGTGACACTAGGATTTAGACTCAGGTCTGGGAAGATTCTTGCCACTGAGCCTCAGTTTCCCTACCTGTGAAAAAAGTGGGTGACGGGTGAAGAGATGAAATACAAAAGCAATACATCTTGGGACAACTTGGTGGGTCGTGGAGGGACCAGGGATCTGGAAAGCATGGTGACTCGGTGTGTATTGCAGCTTCAGGAAGTGTCCCGCATCGTGGGCAACTCTGGCCTCAACATCTACAACCTCTATGCCCCATGTGCTGGAGGGGTGCCCAGCCATTTTAGGTAGGTGCTGCCAGGTGCCCCTGGGGCCCACCCCAGCCCCGTGTGGAGGCTCCACACTCATCCCCCCACCTCACATGCAGGTATGAGAAGGACACTGTTGTGGTCCAGGATTTGGGCAACATCTTCACTCTCCTGCCAATCAAGCGGATGTGGCATCAGGTGTGTAAGGGCATGGGCTTCCTCCTGGTGAAGTGAGGGTGAGGGGAGAGGCAGGGAAGCAGTGGCTCTGACCCTTTGTCGGCACCCTCCAGGCACTGCTTCGTTCAGGGAATAAAGTGCGCATGGACCCCCCTTGCACCAACACCACAGCTGCGTCCACCTACCTCAACAACCCGGACGTGCGGAAGGCCCTCCACATCCCCGAGCAGCTGCCCCAGTGGGACATGTGCAAGTGAGGCTCCATGGCCACCCATGACTCGGGATGGCAGGTTGCTGGGGCTTGAGGGTGTCGGCACATTCCCAGGGATCTTCTGTCTCAAGCAGTCCTCTCTCCTTGGCCTCCCTAAGTGCTGGGATTACAGGCATGAGCCCCCATACCTGGCCATCACATTGGTCATTAACAATATTTCTTCCAGCTGGGTGCAGTTTCTCACGCCTGCACTTTAGGGGGCTGAGGCAGGTGGATCACCAGAGGTCAGGAGTTCAAGACCAGCCTAACCAACATGGTGAAACCCCGTCTCTACTAAAAATACAAAAATTAGCCTGGTGGGGTGGTGGCTGCCTGTAATGCCAGCTATTCAGGAGGCTGAGGCAGGAGAATCGCTTGAACCTGGGAGGTGGAGGTTGCAGTGAGCCGAGATCGTGCCACTGCACTCCAACCTGGGCAACAAGAGTGAAACTCTTTCTCAAAAAACAACAACAAAATATTACTTCCATGTCCAATGTCCTGTGACCCTCAACAAGTAAAGGTTGACACTGGGCCCAGCAGGGGCTGCTCAGGTCCATTTTGATTGTTCAGTGGCCACACTCTCCCCTGTTATATGCTGTGACTCTCACACCTGCTGGCCCCTAGACACTAAATGCCAGTTGCATCCCATTACTCATAACAACCAGAACATGTCCCTGTACATTTCTAAATGGGGGTGAGTTGAGGCTTTCCAAATCTCAGCTCATCATCCAGGTCAGTCCTAGAGAGGGTAACCCCCCAAAAAGGGAAGTGGAACCCAGCTGTCTGCCTCCTGGGTTGAAGCTTGGAGATAGGAGAGATTTGATCTGTTGACTACTTTTTGCCCCTACCTGGTCTTCCTGGGGCCTGCTTATGTGTTCCTGGCAGCTTCCTGGTAAACCTACAGTACCGCCGTCTCTACCGAAGCATGAACTCCCAGTATCTGAAGCTGCTTAGCTCACAGGTGAGTGGGGACAGCACAGCTGGATCCACCAGCAGCCTTAGGACCCCAGAGTAGCACAGCAAGCTGGGTGCCCCTTCAGGACGGGGGAAGCTGAAACTCTAAAAGGCAAAGCCCAGGGTCTTGTGGTTTGTGGAGTCAGGATTTGAACCTGCATTTGTCCCCACCCATGCCACCCTGCTATAGAAGGTCTGCACCAGCCGGGCGCGGTGGCTCAAGCCTGTAATCCCAGCACTTTGGGAGGCCGAGGCGGGTGGATCACGAGGTCGAGAGATCGAGACCAACCTGGTCAACATGGTGAAACCCCGTCTCTACTAAAAATACAAAAAATTAGCTGGGCATGGTGGCGTGTGCCTGTAATCCCAGCTACTCAGGAGGCTGAGGCAGGAGAATTGCCTGAACCCAGGAGGCGGAGGTTGCGGTGAGCCGAGATCGCGCCATTGCACTCCAGCCTGGGTAACAAGAGCGAAACTCCGTCTCAAAAAAAAAAAAAAAAGAAGGTCTGCACCAGCCAAAGAGCCTTAAAGGTGAGAAGAGCTTCATTCATGCCAAAAACAGGCCAACAGAGGTCTGAGGGGGAGGAGACCTTGTCCAAGTTCATGTAGGAGGCACTGGCAGGGCCAAGTTAGGAGGAGGTTCTGTCCAGCACAGTGGTTAATAGCATGGGCTCTGGAGTCACATGGCCTGGGTGCAAGTCCCTTACTAGCCACATAATCTTGGGTCAATTTCTTAAATATCATGAACCTCAGGTTGCCCATCTGTAAAATGGGGATAATGATGATATCTACCTTCAAAGGTAAAACATTTAGCAGAACACCGGACGTGCAGTAAGTCATCAGAAAACATGAGAATTTCCTGGTTCGTCCTGTCTAGCTCATCCCCTTGCATTCCCTGAGGGGTAGGCCTCCAACTAGGGAAGGGCTGGGGCCTGGGCTTCTTCCACCCCTCATTTTTACCCCGTCCTGCTTTAGAAATACCAGATCCTGTTATATAATGGAGATGTAGACATGGCCTGCAATTTCATGGGGGATGAGTGGTTTGTGGATTCCCTCAACCAGAAGGTAAGGCAGAGATTCCTGGCCCTGGGATGGGGGCTCCTGTGGAGGTTGGGGGTGGGTATGCCTGGGAGTGGCCGGCTGGCTGCCTGGCTGTGGTCCACAGAGGGCAAGTGGAGGAATTCCCAACCCCGAGGTCTTGCTGGCAGCTGTGGGCATGGATGCAGCTGCCGTAGGCTGATGTCTTTCCTGGTGGGGCAGATGGAGGTGCAGCGCCGGCCCTGGTTAGTGAAGTACGGGGACAGCGGGGAGCAGATTGCCGGCTTCGTGAAGGAGTTCTCCCACATTGCCTTTCTCACTATCAAGGTAGGGCCTGAGCCTGCTGAGAGGTAACTGGGCCAGAGGCGAAGGAGCAGGGCCCACTCTCAGGCTGCCTTTTATGCTGGGTCATGGGTCACCATCCAGCCCCTGTATGGGCAAGTTTTTTTTGAAGAGGGGCGGGAAGGGTTCTGGGAAGAATAAAGGGCTTGGGATGAAGGAAGCCCTCACGGGTGAGCAGTTATATGAGGAGGAGGAAATGGGAGTCAGGATCTCACAAAATTTGCTCCTCAGGGCGCCGGACACATGGTCCCCACCGACAAGCCCCTCGCTGCCTTCACCATGTTCTCCCGATTTCTGAACAAGCAGCCGTATTGATGACCACCGCGACCAGCTTCCCCACAGCCTGCTGCAGCTCCTCCTAGCCTCTCCTAGCCTGTCCTGCTAGGAGAGTCCTCTTGTAAGCAAAGTGTCCCTGCAGGGCAGGTTCTGCCTCTGGGACTCCCATAGACAGCCTGGGGGCAGGTTAGCACTTCATTCCCGCAGTAGTTCCTGAATGGGGTGGCCTGGCCCCCTCTCTACTTAAAGAACGCCCTTTATGATGCACTGATCCCATCCCAGGACCCCAACAGAGCTCAGGACAGCCCACAGGGAGGTGGTGGACGGACTATAATTGATGGATTCACTGATTATGCAATTAAATTGGGTACAGTTTCAAACCCCGTCTTCTCTGTGGCACTGGGGGTTAGAGGGGCCACTATAGGATACGAATGTGGGGAAAGAGGGGTTGGAGTCCTGAATGACAGCTGCCAGTGTGGGGGTCGAGGGCTCAGACAGCTGCTGTGGAGGGTGGGGGGGCAGTGGATGCCTTGACATCAACAGACCGGTTCTTCTCAATCACCTCTCGCAGCCCTTTGGCAAAGTGGAGATCAGCCCCAATGGTGAGGAAGCCCTGTGCAGGGGGCAGAGAGGGGAGTCTCATTTATTCATTCGGTCACTGAGGCCAGAGTTTAAAGAAGAGACAGTCTTTGTCCTTCAGGGGCTCAATCTAATAGATAATTCCATGTCAAGGTGCTAAAATGAGGCTTTAGGAGTACAGACTATGGGTATCAAGGAGGGCTTCTTGGAGGAGGTGACCTCTGAGCTAAGACCTGAAAGATTAGTAGGTATTGGGATAGGAGAAGAGTGCTCCAAGGAGAAGTTACAGTGTGTGCAAAGGCTTTTAGGAGTCTTAAGATTAAAATGGGAGCTGGGGACTGGTAAGGGAGGAGCTGGGGTCAGGTAGTGGAGGGCACTGGGGAGCTATAGAGAGAGGCGAAAGCCCTGCCCTCCTTTCCCATCCCACCATCCACTCACCGCATGGTTTGTCACCACCTCACGCACAAAGTTGATGCCCTCAGGTAGTGGGATCTGCACCCCACGCCAGGTCCGCTCTGTGGGTGGGAGCACCCGGCTCAGTCTGGGCCTGCCCAGCTCAGCCCTCCTTCCTTCCTCTGTCCTCACTCCCCAGCCTTACCATTGAGCATGGGCATCACCCCAATCTGCAGCAAGGTCTTCAGAGGGGCCTGTAGTGGGATCAGCTGGGAGGGGAGAGGGGAAACAGGGCAGCGAGTAGGGGGTGGGCTTGCCTTTACCTGCCCACCCTGACCCCAGCCCAGCCCACCCACCCTTCCCCACTCACAGCCAGCGACTCCAGAGCAGACTGGTTGGAATAGATTCGAAACCTGCAGGAGAGAAAGCCCTGTGGGCGTGAAGCCTAGAAGCTCCCCTTCCTCAGGCCACCAGGCCTACCTGCCAGAGGTGCATGAGCTGCAGGCTCAGATGCCCCACCTAGGCACCTTTCCAGGTGCTACAACTTTCCAGCTATCCCCGGGCCATCACTGCTCCCTCTTGCTTCTCCTTTTCTCCAAGTCTGCTACTGTTTATTTATTGAGCGCTTCTAACGTTCCACACTTCTACCGGTAGCTTTGCAGGTGTTATTTTATTTAACAAAACTCACATTGCTTAGTTCCTGTCAGACACTAAGCATATTTCTTTTCTTTTCTTTTCTTTCTTGGTTTTTTTTTTTTTTTTGGTTTTTTAGTTCGTTTTTTTTGTTTTGTTTTGTTTTGTTTTTGTTTTTTTTTGAGACAGGGTCTCACTGTGTTGCCCAGGCTGGAAGGTAGTGGTGCAATTTCAGCTCGCTGTGGCTTTGACCTCCAGGATTCAGGTCAGCCTCCCACCTCAGGTTCCCGAGTACCTGGGACCACAGGCATGCATCACCATGACAAGCTAACTTTTAATTTTTCTTTTTTCTTTTTTTTTCTGTTTTCGAGATGGAGTCTTGCTCTTGTCTCCCAGGCTGGAGTGCAGTGGCACAATCTTGACTCACTGCAATCTCTGCCTCCCGGGTTCCAGCGATTCTCCTGCCTCAGCCTCCTGAGTAGCTGGGATTACAGGCGCCTGCCACCACGCCCAGCTAATTTTTGGTACTTTTAGTAGAGATGGGGTTGGCCAGGCTGGTCTCAAACTCCTGACCTCAGGTGATCTGCCCACCTTGGCCTCCCAAAGTGCTGGGATTACAGGCATGAGCCACCACGCCCAGCAACTTTTAAATGTTTTCGTAGAGACAGGATCTCACTTTGTAGCTCAGGCTGGTATTGAACTCCTAGCCTCAAACGATCTACCCACCTCAGTCTCCCAAAGTGTTGAGATTACAGGTGTGAGCCACCGCTCCCAGCCAACATGTTTAAAAAGGTAATATTAGTAAAATATTTTAAAATACAGTACCAACTCATTTAGTCCTTATGTCAAGCCTAAGGAGTAGGCACTATTAGGATTTGCACTTTACAGATGAGGAAAATGAGGCCCCGCTAGATTAAGTATGCCTGAAGTCACACAGCTGGGAAGTGTCAGAACCTGCGTCTAGAGACGAACCTGGGGTCCTGCATTATCTCCTGTAGCCCTAGAACAGCACTGTCCAGTCGGATTTTCTATGAAATGTTTTGTCTCTGTACTGTCCACTGCGATAGTCACTAGCCACATGTGGCTAATGAAATGTGGCTTAGTGCAACTGGAAAACTATTTTGTTTTTCATTTCTTTGAGACACAGTCTCACTCTATCGCCCAGGCTGGAGTGCGGTGGCGTGATCTCGGCTCACTTGAACTCCCAGGTTCAAGCGATTCTCCTGCCTTTACCTCCCGAGTAGCTAGGACTACAGGCACACGCCACCATGTCCAACTAATTTTTTTGTATTTTTAGTAGAGACGGGGTTTAACCATGTTAGCCGGGATGGTCTTGATCTCCTGACCTCATGATCCACCCGCCTCGGCCTCCCAAAGTGTTGGGATTACAGGCGTGAGCTATGGCACCCAGCCAAAACTATTTAATTGTCATTAATTTAAATGTAAATAGTCACATGTAGCTAGTATCTACCATATTGGACAGCACAGCCCTAGAAGGCAGATGCTACTTTTACCTGTACTAAACACGTGGAGAAAATGAGGCCTAGAAAGACAGAACGGGCTGGGTGTGGTGGCTCATGCCTGTAATCCCAGCACTTTGGGAGGCTAAGGTGGGAAGATTACTTGAGCTCAAGAATTGGAGACCGACCTGGGCAACAAAATGAGACCCTGTCTCTACAAAATATAAAATAGGCATGGTGGTGCACACCTGTAGTCTCAGTTACTTGGGAGGCTGAGGCTGGAGGATCACTTGAGCCCAGGAGATTAAGGCTGCAGTGAGCTATAACTGCACCACTGCAATCCAGCCTGGGCAACAGATTGAGACCCTGTCCCAAAAATAAATAAACACAGTAAAAATAAAAGAATAAGGCCGGGTGCGGTGGCTCACGCCTGTAATCCCAGCACTTTGGGAGGCCAGGGCAGATGGATCACTTGAGGTCAGGAGTTCCAGACCAGCCTGACCAACATGGTGAAAACCTGTCTCTACTAAAAATGCAAAAATTAGCTGGGTGTGGTGGTGCACGCCTGTAATCCCAGCTAATTGGGAGGCTGAGGCAGGAGAATTGCCTGAACCCAGGAGGTGGAAGTTGCAGTAAGTCAAGATCTCACCATTGCACTCCAGCCTGGGCAACAAGAGCAAAACTCCATCTCGGGGGCGGGGGAAAGGAATAACATTTTTAAAAAAGAAAGATAAAATGGCCTCAAGGTCACAAAGCTGTGTTGTGCTGAGGTTTTTGTCAAAACCCATGTTCTGTTCTTTGCTGTGTGACTGTGGCCATGTTATTTAACCTTGTGGACCCATTTGCTCATCTCATAATACCTGCCCTGCCTGCGTCTAGGGTGTGTGAGAATGCGGAGGAGTTAGGCTTTACAAAAGCACTTTTGTGTACATTAAGAAAGACAGACCCCAGCTCTCAGTGGCTTATAGGTATGACTGAATTTTAGCTCCAACATCCCAGTGGACAGGTGTGATTGTCCCCAAGACACTGAGGTGCAGGGAGGTAGTCTGCCTACCTGCGCAGGTCCAGCTGCGTGCGCAGGGCCTTCCCCCGGAGAGCCATCTTGGCGCTGAGACGGGCATCCTTCGGGAACATGGGGAGGAGGATGTTACTGACCCGAAAAATCAGTGACCCACAGCCCATTTCTCCCTGACCCCTGGCTAGCAGCCCCCACTCTGGGATCCGCACCATAGTCATGCTGGACAGCTGGACCTCAGGCTGGTCTGGAGGGACCAGGGCAATGGTGACGCTGGCAGTGACAGAGATGGTGGTGCCAGCAGGCTTGATGGTGCAGCGTGGTGGGGCCAAAACACGCAACTCCAACTTCAGCGGGGAGTCAATCACTGCTGGGCTCTGGGGGATGGGCAGCAGAGGCGGGTCAAGTCCCTGCTGTTTCCTGTAGAGCCCCCAGGGAAGAAGGGGAAGGAAGGCAGGTGCAGCTTCTGCCCGCTGGGGACTCAGATATTGCAAATACAGAGACAGCTCTGGCTGCCAAAACCCTCAGAGCTGCGTCTAGGCTTCATGCCTTTGCCATGCAAAGGAACAGGAATGTATTCTTCTCTTCTGCTTCCTAAATGCATCTCAATATTCAGGTCCATCTCCAGTCCAGACTCTTCATGGATGTCTTTTTTGCATTAGTATCTCAGCCCCTTGCCATATGTGTTTTGTTTTGTTTTGTTTTGTTTTTTTGATACAGAGTCTCACTCTGTTGCCCAGGCTGGAGTGGAGTGGTGCGATCTCGGCTCACTGCAACTCTGTCTCCCGGGTTCAGGTGATTCTCTCGCCTTAGCCTCCCATGTAGCTGGGGTTACAGGTGCCCACCACCACACCTAGCTATTTTGTATTTTTAGTAGAGATGGGGTTTCACCATGTTGGCCAGGCTGGTCTCAAATTCCTGACTTTGGGTGATTTCACCCACCTCGGCCTCCCAAAGTGGTGGGATTACAGGTGTGAGCCACCGTGCCCAACCCCCTTGCTGTATCTTTTTGCTCTCTCCTTTTTTTTTTTTTTTTTTTTTTTTTGATACAGGGTCTCTGTATCAGGCTGGAGTGCAGTGGCACGATCATAGCTCACTGCAGCCTCAATGTTCTCAGCTCAAGCGATCCTGCCACATCAGCCTCCTGAGCAACTGAGACCATAGGTTCATGCCACCACACCAGGCTTATTTTTGTACCTTTTTTTTTTTTTTGTAGAGATGGGGTTTGGCCATGTTACCCAGACTGGTCTCAAACTCCTGGGCTCAAGAGATCTGCCAACTTCAGCCTCCCAGAGTGTTG